GGAAGAATGTCTCTCAGACATTGTTGTATGCATGAGGAGTACATTTGAAAAACGCAGGCTGCCTCAGTGGAGGAGCCCAGGTGGTGCCTGGTGCGAAGTCTACACTAGCCAAAGAATACTCCAGCGTTTCTCTGTTGGGTCACTGGTGGGGCAACAGAGATATTGCCGCAACCTCCCAGAATGCTGTACACAGCGCTGACGTCATTTCTGGCATAGCCTGATCTTCACTGGAGACAAGAGTGATCAGCAAGGTCCATGTTTCTGGTCGGCTCTGCCTCTGGTAGTTCTGGGGATCAAGATGTTGACCTTTGGTCTGTTGTCCACCCTTTGCGCTTTATCTGACATTGGAGACGTTTCAATGCCCTCTCCATTCTCTTCCCACTGTCCTAGTCAAGCCCTCTCAGTGGGCCCACAGAGAAGACTGCATTTGGCTCCATCTCTGCAAGTGAGGGTCTGTATGACGTTGATGGGCACATCCAGAATGCCTTAGAGAGTTTTATCAAGAGCACCTCTGCAGAAGATGTCTCTGCTCCAGCCACTACTAGCGCAGTTGCCGCCTGCGCTGCATCACCCTCTTCTGGCGCTGTTTCTCCCTGCAGTGCGCTGGACTTGTCTGCACTCTTGTTGTTTGATTGGTGGTGTCTTTGGTTCTGGTCTTGCTTCATTGGCTCCTTGTGCTGCTTCTACCTCTTGCCGCTTCCTCTTTTGACCCCTGCAACTACTCCAGTTGATGTGCCAGCCATGCTCAATTATTGTCACAATGCTCTCTCACCAAGCAAAGCAACCTCTGGTTCCATTGGTGACAATGAGATTGGCAACAAAGATGCTGGAAGGGTCATGTATTCTGGCAGCTTGCAAACCAAGGATCTGCCTTTGCCTTCTGTTGCTGAACAGATTCATGAGGACATTAGCAATGAGGAGCAGGACCCCTGCAACTACTCCAGTCGATGTGCCAGCCATGCTCAATTATCTTCACGATGCTCTCTCACCAAGCAAAGCAACCTCTGGTTCCATTGGTGACAATGAGGTTGGCAACAAAGGTGCTGGAAGGGTCATGTATTCTGGCAGCTTGCAAAGCGAGGACCTGCCTTTAAGCTGCCAAGATGATCTTGAGGATATCGTCCTTATGCTTCAGCGCTTGACCTTGCAGGATGCTGACTGGCTGGACAAGACTGAGGACAACTCAATGGATGTGGACAAGCGCATGGTCCTCAAAGCAGTTGACATCCCAATGGAAGTTGACAATCCTGACTGCGCGGTCTTGGAAGCAGCCGACGTCAACATGGACATGATGCCTGCCAAAACTACAACGACGAACTTCTGGCGATGCCGCGCAATCAGGTCATGAAAGAGATCTTTGAGAACTGGCCTGCCCCTTCTGCTCCACGCCCGCGCCTGCGCCCAGTCCTTCCTGATTTTGTCTCCAATTGGAACCTCCATTTGCCAATTCCCAATTACCGCCTCCACCGCGTTCCCACTCCCGAATACAGCCTCCCTTCCTCCTACCACCGCAAACGATCTCGATACTAGTGCCATCATTTCGACCGAGAATGCTCACTTTGCCTCATGTGTGTGGCACTCAAGAATGAGCTGCCAGGCATGCTTTGAGACCCCGGCTGTTGGCAACAAGTTGGCGCTCTGCTTGCTGCCCTCTGCCAGCCCACCCCCCTTGCCATTGGCCTTCAGCAGCCACTTGAGGGAGTTGAGCAGGCATCAGTCCTTGTTGTAGTCCAGAACCCGCATAAACAGGCCCTGTCATCACCTTGCGGGTCAAAAGCATGCTCATTTAGCTTGTTGAGTTGATGGATGCCTTCCGTCTTCCCAACTCCGCTTTGCGCTCGCGTTCTTGTCCCGCCTCTTGTCCCCTTGCAGGTCCACCTGCTCCTGCTCCTGCTCGTCTCTGCACCCACACCATTCTGGGCACGTTTCCCGTTGGCACCTCCCTTTAGGTTTATGGTACTGATCTTGTCCCAGCCGCAATCTTCAGTCTGTGTCTTCAGTCTTGGTCTCGATTCCTCCTCAGTCTTTCAGGTGTCAAGCCCAAAGGACCATCTGTACTAGCCTTGGCATTATCAGACATGCCCTGGTCATTGTCATAATCTCGCCAATAGATCTTGCGCCTGGCACAGGAAAACCATTCTGGCGGCGCCATCCACAAGGTGCCTCGACTGCAGTGTCGCAGCTTGTCATGAATATTGACTTGTGATGATCGAGCAGGCAACACTTCCACATGTATCTAGGGTGCAGCTTTTCTGAGGCTCAAGTCTGCTCACAAACTTTGGTGGAGCACATGCTGTTGAACCATCTGTCTCGCAAAGGATGTGGTCTCTCTGCCCAATGGACATGTGCTTCCCAAACAATTCATCTCCAATTTCTGCAACTCTCTCCTAAGTTGTTGAGCAGAGTCTTGAGCCAGGCACAGCAGATCTGAACAAAATTGACCTCAAAGGAGCATATTCATTGGGCAAGAGGGAAATCCAAGCTGCATGGCCAATTCTCTTGGCAGCATTGCTGTACAGACAGTTGCATGGTCCTCTACCAGTGTCAGCCTGCTGCCCAACATTCTATGATGTGTAGGTCAGTCTCAGCTTGCCTTGAGATATCTGTCCATTGTACATGCTGGCATTCATACCACCCTTCTTTGATGTGCTTGTGCGTTTGTTCAAGCTGCACAGTGGATGCTGTCCATGCCAAGAAATTCAAGCGCAGAACATGACTCAAAGTCTTTTGCTGGACACTCAACGTATGGCCTCAGACTGGCTTCACAAATGAAAATCCATCAATCAACGTACCTCCAAAGATGTTCAAAGACCATCAGCACCTGGCATCGAGCCAATGAAGGGTGGCTAGAAGGGTAGCAAGTCATGTTTGAGGAGTCGTTGGCATATCCTAGCCTCTTTATTTGTGTGGTTTGGTCAGAAAAGAAGGGTAGCTAGCTGTACACCAATTTGGTACTCAATTGATGCATCACTTTTTGGGGCATGTAGTGTGCGGACTACCACAATGCTGGACACAGCGCCAGCTTGGCGATGATTTTAGCTGCCATTTTTCTTAGCAGGATTTCATGAAGTCAGCCAAGCACAGCAAACTTTGCCTTGTCTTCTTGAGTCACCTTCTTCTCTGCTTCATGAAAAGCTCAGACTCCTGGGGTCTTTCCGGGCAACCTGCGCAGCATTGACCTGACCAATCCCTCATTGAGCTCCAACACTTGGACCTGATTGGCCTTTATGCATCAGTGACCAAAGACTGTGCCTCTGTCTGGAAGTCAGAGGCGTAGCTGGTTTCTGTGTAGAAGGTCCAAACCCTCCTAGGGATTTGACACAACTTGGACCAGCATTGGCAGGGACATGACTATTTTGTGATGGTTTGAGAAGTACACTATTCAGGCATGCAGCAGCTGATGCAAACTCTTTGATGCAAACTCTTTAACGCGCGCTTGAAGC